CGTGCTTTGCCAGATGCTACGGGTGAAGCAATTTCGAAGTTCATGCATGAGGAGATCGTTATGCGTTTTGGTTGTCCACATGAAATTGTCACGGATCGTGGTGCAAATTTTCTTTCCAACATTCTCGCCCTTTATCTTGGTCGCATGAAAATCCAACACAAGCGCACATCGGCTTTTCATCCGCATACAAATGGCAAGGCTGAACGCACAAATGGAATCCTCAAGCAAATGCTACGCAAGTATGTCAATGGTGCCATTCATCGTTGGGATGAATTTGTGGATACTACTGTTTTTTGCCTGTCGCATTCGCAAGCATCGTACCACTGGTCTTAGTCCTTTTTACATGGTATATGGTCAAGATCCTGTTCTCCCTGGTGATACCTTGCAGCCTATGGTCCTTTCAAACCCATCTGATGATCCACAAGCACTTACAGACTCTCGTTTACCTGATTTGCGTAATTTACGTGATTCACGCAACAAGGCTATTGATCGACTTCAACGCAATGCACAACTTGACAAACAACGTTGGGATGCTTTACTCAAACCACAAGATTTCTCTATTGGGGACATCGTTGCTATGCGACATGAGAACAAGCTTAGCCTTGAATACAACTGGAAAGGCCCTTATCGCGTCATTGGCAAGAATCAAGAATACCATACCTACAAGCTCGAAGACATGCAAGGCAAAATTTATGCATCTATGGTACACACCGATCGCCTAAGGCCTCTTAACGTCAAGAACCCAATTCCTGAACCATGGTATGATCCTGCTTCCTCACGTACTCAAGAACGTCAACGTCTCGCTCAAGCTGCAAGTACGCACGAGGACGTGCAATAATCTGGAGAGGGGGTATTGTCGGGGTATTATGCGCTGGCGCAGCAATATTCCTTTTGACAACATCAACTTCTTATACTCAGCAGGCGCAGCAGTACTTCGCCACAACATCATAGATAGCCATCCCATATAAATATCCCCACCACACAATATGAATAAACATCATCTCTTTACGTTACAAGTACTTCTTTATTATCATACGTCGTTGCTATTGGCTACGGTCACATCCGCCAAAAAGAAAGCTCGACACTTTCAAGGTGAAAAGGTTTTCTTAGGTGGCTGGGGAGTAAAAGTTTTTTTCTCTCTTTCTCTTACTTTCATCACTTTTATCGCAATGGCTGTTGTTAAGGATCATTCAACTGAAAAACGTCGTCAATCGCTATGGGATTTCACTAAGCAATTCCCTGACAGTATTACTGTTGAGAGGTATGTTCGACGTGAACATGTATTGGTGGATATGCATTTAAATTAGATTATAGATGGTTGTATCAAGAAAAGGTTTATGTGCAATCCATGAAGTGCAAGGCTGGATACAACATGAGCATGATCGAGATTAGCAAGAATGGGCATCCCCAACTCGTGTGGAAATGCACCCATAGACCCTGTGAAGATTGCAATCGGCAGCAGAAGTCACTTCGTGAAGGCAGCTTTTTCTCTGGCCTCAAGATTGGTATGCATCAAGTGCTTGGGATCATTTGGCTTTACCTTTATAAGGTCGAGATGAAGGGTATTAGGGATTTGACTGGTGCTAGTGCTCCAACTGTGCGCACAGTCATCCACCTGCTTTATAGATTGATGAACGCCGATATCAAGGATGAATATATGACTATCGGTATGCTCGAGTATATGAAAGTAGCGTTGCGTAGTTATTAATTGTGCCAATTTAAAATAGGTGGAAAGGATAGTGATGGGAATTCCATTATTGTTGAGGTGGATGAATCAAAATTCGGAAAACGCAAGAGTCATCGAGGCCATCGTGTTGAAGGTGTTTGGGTTGTTGGGGGCGTTGAGAAAACTCCTGAGCGCAAGTTGTTCTTGACCACTGTCGAAGACCGCAAGAAGGATACACTCCATTTGATCTTGGGAAACTACATCAAGGCAGGTAGTGAAATCCGTACCGATTGCTGGAAAGGATACTGTGGTTTGTCGCGTTTGTCTGGTAAGCAGTACCGTCATATGACTGTGAACCATGCAAAGGAGTTCAAAACCGTGACTGGTGTGCATACCAATACCATTGAAGGTAAGGTTTGGTACCATGTTAAGGGATACTTGTAATAACTGATTTAATGCACTAGGTACATGGAATGGCATCAAGTCCCTTATTCGCACCCGCCATCGTACAGCTCCAACAATGAAGTACCGCCTTGCTGAGTTTATCTTCCGGCGCAAGCACGCAAATGACCTTTGGGGTGGTGTTGTCAAGGCATTAAAGGAGGTATCTTTTGACAAGTTTGCTGCACAAGATGATGTAGATGAGGAATTCATTTACACAGAAGTGCGTCGTGAATGTGCCGATTTGGATCACGATGATTCGGAGTTTGGAGGTACATCGTATGACCTGTAGTACTATATTTATGCTAACTTCGTTTATAGATGAAGATGGATGGGAGACTGAAAGTGAGTGTGAGGAATGGGTTTGGGATGGTGGAAGGTGCTAGGTGCTTTCCAACAGGACAAGGACAGGGAACAGGAAAAGAGGTGAAGATGATGATGATGCCTACTGATCGGGACAGCAGTGCAAGGAATAGAATGTGATGGGACACAAAGAGAGAGAGAGATGAGCCAAGAGGTATGGAGGATAAAGAGGACCAAGATAACTGACTAAGGTTTATTGCATGATGAATCGGTGGATATATATATGTGAGTAAGATCAATAATACTAAAAGAGATGGGTATGTGATATGTCTAAAGATGATGAGGCAATAAACCTATGATGATGGAATATGTAATCTAGCTAAGAAGGATGTGTCAAATGAAAGGAAGGAGTGTGCCAATATAGCCAAGAAGGACATGTCAAGTCATGACAGTGAGCATGAAGATGATGAGCAAGATGGCAGTTATAGGCTAGTCAACCGTAAAAGAAAGCAACGTCGTAACTAGATTGTTCTTTGCTATTGGAAAATCATAAATTTATAAGTTGCAACTGGTAGGAGTAATGTTATCCATCATAGCATTGAAGCACAATGTAGTGTAAGGCACCTATCTACAACGATGATGAAGACTTTGGGGGCGATTGCTAATTTATTTTTAAGCGCCGATACAAATAAATTTTCCATTTAGACCCTGGCATCGGGGAGCAACTCCTGTGTAAGTTTTATGCACGTAGGGCACGATTTCACTGCACCTCAGACTGGGATGGTTCTGACTTAGTCGGATTTTAAGTAAAATTTCCTGGGTTTTCTACCATATCTTCTGATCTATCATAGCTACCTTCATGCGGTTTGCTTTCGCAATTTCGGATGGCCCGGGGGCACATTGATATCAATTCCGAGGGGTATCGGAGTACATTTTGTGTACCAGGTTCAGCAAGGTCGAATTTTAGACATAATACCACGAAAAGAAACGGCGTTATCTCCCCACTGCGAGGTCGGAGGCTCAAGCGGACTTTATGACAGGAATCCCCATATTTGGAAGTATATATAGCATGGTTGACGAATGTACCAGGTACAATGCGTAGGTGGGTACATTGGATGGAAATGTGGTGACCTATCTTTTCCTTCAACCCTCAATGATGTTCCCTTTGGTGGCAAAGTGGTTGTCTTTGGTGGTGATTTTCGCCAAACACTTCCTGTGGTAAAGGGTGGTACCCGTACACAGACCACTGCTGCAAGTATCTCCCGATCTTACCTTTGGCAGCATGTACAAGTATACCGCCTCACTATCAACATTGTCGTAGACACAGCTTAATCATCATAAAGTGGTTCCCACAGCTGTCATTTAATTCTCCTTCTCATCTCATGTTTGTCACACCTACATTCTCCCACGCATAAATCTTATCCTATATGGCTGTCAGGTACATGGGCACAGACGCGTACGTAAGATTATGGGTATATCGAG